CGCACACTTTCTTATCTTAATAACTATATGTCCGCCAAATTAAACCGTTCAATACCGCACACATTGATATATATCAATAACGTATACATTTATCTAAAATAACATTATCGTTTAGTACCGCACACCAGTTAATCATATTTAATCAAGATCACAAAATAATAAAAATAAAACTTTCGGGATTATACGCAGATTGCTATATCTACACGTTTAAGAAATAAAATAATATATACGATTATAGTTTTTATTTTCCAAATATTAGTACCTAATAAGTTACCAACATTTAGTGTGATCGCGACTATATTCGACTTCACGTACATATTTTATAGTAATTTAATATCGAATTCGCATAATGGATGACGTGATACAAGTGTACACAAATAATAAAGGTGCGCAATCAATAATTTACCAAAAGTATTCATATCGACTTTTTCGTACTAATAAAAATTCCGGGGATTTAGTTTGGCGTTGCAATAATAAGTTATGTAGTGTTATGGTGACGACAAATTCAAATATAAATGTATTCATCAAACAGAATAAAAGTAAACATCACCATGAAACAAATGAAATTAACCCAGAATTAAAAGAAATTCGATGTGCCGTTAAACGTAAATCGAAATTGGATTTAAACGAAAAACCTTTAAAAATTATAAGGAAAGAATTATGTACGTCTTCAGTGAGTGCAGATAATATTGATGCTATGAGACAGTCTATGTATCGTGAAAGACGAAAACTTCTACCCCCTGTGCCTGTGTCACTCTCGGATGCTCTTAATAAGGTAAAGGAATCAAACATCACACTAAATAATGGTGAACAATTTGTGTTTGTGAATGAGTCCACTCAAATAATTATAGTGACATGTAAAACAAATCTCCAATTTTTATGCAATGAAATTGAATTTATATTAGCAGACGGAACTTTTACTTATTGCCCAAAACATTTTTATCAACAATATACCATCCACGGTGTTTGTAAAAATTATTACGTACCACTTGTTTTTTGTTTTTTGCCATCAAAAACAAAAGATATTTATAAACAAATGTGGGAAACAATAAAAGATTTATGTTTAAATAATGCAAATAGTGTATTCCAGCCTTCACTCTTACTATTAGATTTTGAACTTGGTGCTCACATTGCTGCTAAAGAAGTATTTCCTTTAATTATTATTAAAGCCTGTCGTTTCCATCTTGGTCAAGCATGGTACAGAAAAATCAGTTCCATTCCAATATTAAAAAAAAACTACGACGATAAAAATTCACAATCTGGACTATGGTTAAAACTTTTTTTTGGTTTGCCTTATTTACCCTCACATATGATTTCTGAGGCGTTTATTGAGATAATGGCTACTTGTCCAGAAGAAAAACAATATCATGATTTTGCTGATTACATATTGGATAATTATATTGAAACCAATAATTTTTCACCAATATTGTGGGCAGAAGAGCCCAATAAAAGTACAAGAACGACGAACGGCGCAGAAAGTTACCATAGTCAACTTAGGCATGAATTCTATGTTCCACATCCTACTATATTTCATTCGGTAAGAATATGAATTTAAAATAATAAATATATTTTCCGTTATTATTAAATTATTTTTGTTTTTTTTTTCTTCCAGATAGATGTGTTACAACAACAACAGATAATTACTGAGACCAAATTTCGCCTCATACGAAACGGCAATGTGAACCGTACACGCAAAGTAAGCAGGGAGAAAGAAAAATCTATTTTAAATGTTTATGACCGTTTCATTAAAAACGAAATCAGCTTGATTGAGTATTTAAAAACATTAGGATGTAAGTTTATTTCGATTTAATTATACCTATATTGAATTATTTTATATTATGATTTTTAATTAATACTAAATTATTTTTTTAATAGCAACGAAATTAATACTAAATTATTTTTTTAATTAATAACAATAAAATATGTTTAAATTTTAACTGTCAATCAAATGTGTGCGGTTTTGAACTATCGACCTTCCAAATTTCCCTTTTTAACAATAGAATAAATGTGTGCGGTATTGAACGATGTAAAATGTGCGGTTATGAACGGTAAGTGTGCGGTTTTGATGACCGCCGTGGGGAACATGTACCTGATCAATTATTTTATATGCCACTTGTCTGTGAATCAGATTCTGATAAAATTAATGAATCATTGAATGAAGCTACACCTGGTAATTATGAAAAGAACGAACCAACATGTTCTAAAATACCAACAACTTTAGCAAATCAAGCTTTAGAAGTTGACTCTAATTCAAACACTGAATATTATGCTGAACAAATTCAGGAATTATTTAAATCAAATTTGGAAAAGTATACATCATCAACTTCAGTATCAGTCCTCAGCAAATGTCTAGATCGTTTAAAAAAAGTAAAATCTGCTGCTTCTTGGGAGTCATTTATGAGTACTGCTGCTTCTTGGGAGTCATTTATGAGTACTGCTGGTAGTAATATTTCTCTGAGGCATCGAACTAGAGCAACTATTCGAGTGCAACCTACAGCAATAAATAGAAGAAAACTGAGGATCACAAGAGGCAGCAAACAAATACCTTTAGGGCGACCATTGAATACCGATATAAACAGAAAAAAGAAAAGAAAAAGAAATTTAGGTGAAAATGTTCAAAAGAATGTTCCAAATGCTAAATCGCATGGAACAGGTCATTAATCATATACAGAAATTTTTAATAAAATATTGAATCTTTATAAGGTATCTGAATCTATTACATTAATTTTTTATTTTTATTTATATTTATTTTTTTTATTTTTATACAATTAGTGTATACAAAAATAATGATTTTACATGATTACATTTAAATTTATAATATTACACTAATACCATAATTTTTTTGTTTTCCTTTCATTATTTTGCTATTTATAGTAACTTCATTGTTTCATTTCTAAAATTGGAAAAAATTGTAATTAGGAAACAACTTTTATTGTTTGTGAGATAAAAAAGTCTAATCTGAAATATTGAAACAATGAATGTATCAACAGATCTGCACATTTTTGTCAAATTTGGTAAGTTCAATGATAGTTACATGCCTAGATTTTTCTATTTAAATTAAATTATTTAATAAAGTAAAGTAAAGATAATATAACAATTTAATAATAAAATAATATACAATTGTTCTTAGTTCACTACCTAGAAATAGAAAATAGAAAATCTCCCCTACATCACTTACCAAGTGTTATATCAGACTTAAAAAATTATTTATATTAAATTATATTATTATAATATAACATAAATATAAAATTAAAAATAACATATGTATTTATTTAATATATTATTATCAAAGCTACAAATATTATTTTAAATTTCATCATTTTAAATTCCTGCCAAGTTGAGTATCACACAAATATACAATAGTAGTTATTAATAGTTATAGATAGCATTGATTCATAGCATATAGATTATTGTCTAAAATTATTATTAATTTGTGTATAGTGTATTACTCCATTAGTGAAATGTTTAAACTGATTGAAGTTGAAAGTAATGCTTATCACTCAAATTTGATCGCTGAACAAGACATTTTTAGATGGATTAGTGGGTATAGCAATGTAACAAATACAAGTTGGTGCATGCATAATAAATCAGCATTTAATGAATGTTCAAAATGTGTGAAGGTAAGTTAACTTCGTATTTACTAAATAGTAAGTTAATATTGTCACCAACGACCTATGCAATAATAATTATGTACGTCTAAACATTTATGTATCCTTAAGACTATAACTGAACGCAGATATCTTCATTTTAATGTTTAAAACAAAAATAAATATTTATGACAGCTTAATATAATTTATATTATTATAACAGTTGAATAGGTTTTGTAGAATAATTTTTTTATAGTTGATATATACAGTTTTATTACATATTTATTTTATTTATTGTCATTTATTTTGTTATTATAACTAACTAATATTGTTAGTTGATCTGTGAATCAAGCTACAAAAAAATGTGTTTTATTCTAATTATGTAAATTACCTACTCATAAAATTAATCATACACATGAAAAAAAAAACAATAGAATCCAAATGATAAAAAATACAATATATTAGCTATTACCTGTTTATAAAAAAACTGATTTATTCATTTACAATTATAAATGTAAATAAAAAAATTAAATAAATTTATTAAAAAATTGCCTATACCCTATAGCCCTTAATACTGTCATACATGTAATTGGTAGGTAGGTACCTAATAAAATACCATACCTTACATTGTAGAATAAATTAATAAAATAGAATTTACAAGTGCATTTATTATTACTTAACAATTTTATTATAATAATATAAGTTATGATCAAATAATTAAAGTATTTGTATTTTAAGTAAATATGCATAATGTACATATGCAATATTATTAAATATCTACTAATTATGCATAGTAAGTAAAAATTTGGGATAGGTAGCTACACTTATACTCTGAACTAAGAAAAGCATTTTATGAATGTAAAAATAGGATGTACCTATAGGTAGGTATATTTCCTCATATCTGCCTATTATACACATTTAAATAATTATAATGTTGTTTTACATTGTATTTTCTTATATACAACAAATATTATAATCATCACACAATACAATTAATACAATGTGTCCAGTGTCAAAATATATTTAAATTTATTGTAGGTGACCAAATAACTAAATATTATAATCACTGTCTAATTCTAGTATTATTTAATGATACCTACAATAATTTACTTTATTATAATGCTATTATTGCAGACTATAATTCATATTATTGTACTTAAAAAAATAATATAGGTATTTAATTTAAAGGGTTAGACATTTTGTAATATTTAGGCATTTTTATCATCAATTAAAGGTTAATCTAAGTTTTAAAAATATTTTACAAAAACTATAAGTAGTAATATAGGTATTTGCTATCTTATGCTTTTTATCAATCTATATGTTAACTATCTTTAAACTTGGCGGGAATTTAAAATCGACCAATGAGAGTGCGTAGTAGAATACAGGTGCCGAAACAGACCCCAGAATGCTTATATGCTTACCGGAGATGTCACCAGATTTGGAATACCTGAAAAAATCATCACAGACAAGAGAAGACAATTTGAAAGTAATTTGTTCACAACATTAACTAACTTACTAGGCATACAACGATCATGTACTACGCCATACCACCCGCAGGCAAATGACGACCACTTTCCGACAAGTGTTAAATTTTCTCACCCTCATTTTGTTTCATTCCAAGACAACATGTCCGACCACGGAAACTCCAGGCATGACGACCGGATCAAAAGACTTACGGTGAAACCCCTGAGTTGGTGGCAACGTTTGGGGGGGGGGGCAGTCACCACGACGGCTGCGGCCCACAGCAACGACGTGCAGGAACTTATCGCCAATTAGACGCCAAGTCCCAACCATAGTCGTAGCCAGTTCCCGAAACAATCTCGGTACCACCGTTTATACAACGAAGTGGCAAAAAGTTGCTCTAGCCGACATGTAGGTACGATAAAGCGTTAAGCTTCGGCCCTAGCACCACTACTTTCTCACTATAATTATAATTTTCACCTCTCGAACTCAACACAACAATCAAAATTTTTAATTCACCGGCAATAATTTGTTTCCACACTTCCACACTTGCTGAAAAGATAACGATAACTGATAAACCATATTTGCTACATAACATTTGCATTACTACGATCTACGATCAGAACAGCTAAATCAAGGGAAAAGGAATGAACCGAAAACACCAAATTCTATACCACAAGTAAGACCATAGTTTTAAATAAAAAAATCTGTGTTAATTTTGGTATTTTTGTATATAATTTAGAATGTGGCTTTTCTACAATATCTTCATTGAATCCAGAAATGGGAGATTCTCGGTTTTCGGTTCTAAAATGATGAAATGGCAATGTTGTTTGCTATTGAAAATATTGAACAACATGAACGATTCATTCACGTAAGACAAAGTCGAAATCCAGAATTTATTACAGACCCATTTACATACTCAGATCGACTATTCATTAAAAACTATAGACTAACTAAAGAACTAGTTACTAATTTAGTTGAACTCGTAAGACCTTATATAGTGTCAAAGAGTCGTTTGTCTGCGATTGATTTAAAAACAAAAGTAAGTATCTTCAATAAATCTTCACTGATATTTCTTTTTATGATGTATTTAGATATATTAATTTTACTATTATATAAGATATTGGGCTCCGTGCATGCTCGTGTGTAAAATCATTTGGTGCTTTAACTAGTTTTACAATTAAATATATTTCAGGCATTAAGTATACAGCTTGTTGATTTTTGAAGGCTTTGATTTTAATCAATATTTTATTACTTTAATAAAATACTTGTTAGAAAAATTACTAAATTATTAGTATAAGATTCGGTTTTCTATAAATAAAACCATTATTTAGGTTTTAGTTACATTGCATTTTTTGGCTACGGAATCATACCAGTCACCTATTGGTAACAGTAGATTCACTGCTGTATCCCAACCAACCGTATCTCGCTGTATAAGCGAGGTTGTTGCTGCAATAAATCATCCTGAAATATTTCATGATTGGGTTAAGTTTCCCAAAAATATGGATGAGCTCTCCAAAGTCCGCAATGAGTAATTAATGTTTAAATTTATTTATGAAATATGAATAATAAATGAAACATAATAATTTTTAAATATTTTTAATAATTAAGGTTTTACAGAGAAACTGGATTTCCTGGCGTTATTGGTGTGATTGACTGTACACATGTGTCAATTGTACCCTCTTCGAGTAATTTAAATATGAACGAGAACCAAAATTCTGAACACATTTATGTTGACCGTAAGGGTTACCACTCAATCAATGTGCAATTGGTAACCATCAAATCTTTTTCTTTTTTGTTTATTATATAATTTTGGAATATATTATATTTCATGTATTTTATTAACACTGAACTTTAGATTTTTGCGATTCAAAATTACAAATTCTCAATGTGAATGCACTATTCCCAGGCGGTACCCATGATGATGTACACATATGGAACAATAGCAATGTTTTACTTATACTCCAAGAGTTATATAGACAAAATTTTTATTTATTAGGTAAAATAATATTTTTACTTTTCTAACTTAATCAAATATAAATTAAATGTCTTACTTCTTGATAAAAAAAATATATGATTAGGAGATTCGGGGTACCCTTTACGTCAGTAGCTGTTAACACCCATAACAAATCCTACCACAAATTTCAATAAAAGACAAATGTCAACCAGAAGGTGTAATGGACTATTGAAAATGCAATTTAGGTAACATCTCTTTTATAATACTTTGTTACACATAGTTTTAACTCCAACCCTTTTTTTGTTTTAGATGCTTATTAAAAGACAGGACATTACATTACAAACCTGAGAAATCAACTGCCATTATAAATGCATACACAGTCTTGCATAATATGTGTATTAAAAACAATGTTCCTATGCATGACGTTGATGATATTGAAGAAATTGGTGATTTGGGAATGATGGACTACCAAGTATTATTAGCTGATAACAATCGCAATACAAATCTAACTCTTGGAAGACAGCAGAGGGACAAAATTGTTGGATATTTATTTAACAGAAATAATGTATAATAAATAATTGTGATATTAAATGGATTAGTATATTTTAATTTAAAATTGTATACAATTAGTGTTATACGAAAATATTATTTGTTATTAAAAAAAATAAAAAACTAGTCTAACCTTTTTTCTTATACGTATAAAAGTACAATATATAAAAAATAAATAATAAATGTTGATAAAATAATTTATAATCAAACAGGAACATAATACAACCTTTTTTATTATAAAATATATGGAAGTACAATATGTTGATAAAATAATTTATAATCAAACAGAAACATATAAATTTTTTTCTTATACAATGAATACTTAAGTACTTGGTAATTTTTCATTTAATATAGATATCAATGTTCTTAATAACACATTATTTTCTTCCTTTAGTATAATTTTTTTTATCATAGTATGCACTTTTCATAGCCAACTTTTGTTCCGCTATGTCTAACTTTCTTTCTGCTATATCGCCCAATCGAACGCAGCTTCAGTACTGTCATTTAACATAGTGCTAGTTTTTTTTTTTGAACCTACAATATACAACTGTATGTAGGTGATGCATAGACATATGTGTGTATAATGATGGATGGATGAAATATTACCTGATTTTGCAGCAATGCTTGATGGTTATGGACAATCTTCTAGGTAATCATCAACTGCTATAATATAACAGAGAAAAGCAAATTATTACCCATATTGGTACCTACCTATGTACATATGTTATCACCTATACATTGAATTAAATTCTTTAAGTAACAAGGATTTTTTTAATTTTTACATATGTTTAATATAAGTACATAATTAACTTATATGAATATTTCTCTAAACATAATATAAATCAAAAATAACCAAGTAATGTTTTTCAAAAATTAGAAAATTACTTTGTAACACAAACATTATTAAATGAAAACTAAAATAGTCAATTTTTTCACAAATATTTAAAATTGAAACCATTTTTAACCACCGTTTAATAAAGCATGTAAAATTTACAATTATGCCGATAGTCGATAGCCTATGCCTAAAAGTTAAAACATATTATTTGTTATTTGTTATGAATATTATAATGCATATTATAGAATATAAATGTACTAGCTGATCCCGCGCACTTCGTTGCCCGTAAAAAATGACAACTCTTAAAAAATATATATTATCTATCTATATATTTATGATATATATTACTATCCCTGTACCAAATGTCTTCAAAATCGGTCCAGACTCTTAGGAATGCATAAAGGACAAACATCATTTATATATATATATATATAGATAATATATGATTATTGTGTATGGAGGTAAACTAGGTAAAATATATTATTATTTATTATTTGTAGATGTGTATTATTGGTATGCATGATGAATGATGATGATGCATATGCTTTTTTCCATTGGTAGGTATAATAGTTTATGGGTACGTATCAGTGTCTTACACACAAAAGATATAATATTATGTATTTAATATTATGAAGAAAAAGTGGCCCAATGAAGAAAAAAAGTAGCGAAGAATTGGCCTGCTTAAATTTTGGCACAACTATTCAAAAACTCAAATGGTGTCACTGGATAACTATACAATATTTAATTAATCTTATGTTATAACTACCATATGATTCATCAAATTCTTCAATAAGTTCATGTTCATTTGTATCTAAAAAAAGAAAGATATTTATTTATTCGCCACTATTTATTAAAATTGATATATTGTAGATTTACCAACTGTCACATCATTAGGAACATCAAAAACAAATTCAATATTAGATTCCGTTGAATTCACATGACCACTCACTGATACTGGACAAATTAATGACAGTGTGTCTTGCTGGATCTCATTGAGTTCGATTGAACATAATGGTCCACCGCCTGTACCTCCTATATGCCTTTTAATGGCTGCTGCTTTTGTTTTTGTGACTAATCTATTATCATGCCATGTCTAAAATATTACAATGAGTAAAATTAGTATTCCGGTGTGGTTAAATCAGCACTAATATCATGTTAAACGTTATATTACTGTAGCATTTACACTGTGCAGTTGCACACCCTTCAAAAAATTCTACATAATATAGGTGACAAGGGGATTGTTTCAAGAACCGGTCTCAATAGCATGCGTCGGAGACGGATCCGGGGGGATGGGATCTGCATGTCTCAGAATGTTCCCAAAGGCTGTGGTTGCGTTCAATAGTCTTTTGTCAGAGAGAGAAGAAATTCCCAACGGGATTGAACCGCAGGGCCCCTTTGCAATAACATGTCTGCCCGTTGACATGAAAAGTAGATGTATTAATCTTGTTGATTTCTGGAAGCACCCATCGGACCTGCAAGATTTTGACACATGGGCTTACATCCTAGGACTGCTGAATTATAAGATTGATCTGCTGATTAGTGACACTGAACCTTATAGCCCTGAAATAATGGGCAAGATACTTACTCATTTGATTTCGCACTCATCAGTAAAAGGGATGATAGAGAATGTTATATTTAAGACCCATGTATACACCTTCCTTAATGAACCATTATTTGATAGGTTGTTATCCTATTTCAAATCAAGATTCTTCGTAAGAGCAACCATGTCTTCTTCGCATACCAGTGAGATCTACATATTGATGTGTGGTTCAATGGGGGCATCTGATAACTTGTACGTGTCTCGTTTCTCACTGGAGACATTGGACCAATCCTTTAATGATAAGTGGTCAAATGCAGAGGGTGAGCTTGAAAGGGCATTATTGATTTTCGGTCTCAGAATGGAAACAGGAATTGATCCTAGGTTCTTCCCCAACCCTCAGTTGGAGTTGGAAGAGATTCTACAGAACATCGGTCTTAGTTACAAGGATCGATCAATACTGGCAAGCGCACTTCTGAAGCCAGAGTCTCCTTCATCAATAAACCAGGCTGTAAGAGGTTTGAAGAAGATGGGGCTCAGAGAACATTGGAAGGTCCCCAGATCTCATCTATCGGATATTATACCAACATTCAGTCGAGTGTCTAATGTCTACAGTGTTTTATTTGGAATAGGTCTCTTCTCATCTTTGGTATCAGAGGATATTGAATTGTACAAGGGAATATTGAGGAGTATGAACACACGAGCCACCTCATACTCTAAGATCCTCAACACCAGTAACAAGCTTTTAAAGACTAAGACAACTATCAATTACTCTGACGGAGGGAATTGTGTAGTCAAGAAATTGGGAAAGATGGTGGATTCTAGCAAAGCAAGTGCAGTGATTAGACTATTGCGTCTAAGCATGAAGTCATCAGTAGAGGCCAGAAGCAAGTGGATAGGGGTGGAATTAGGATGGATCATTATACCTAACATAGAAAGTGACACAGACGGGCTTTTATTCTTCCGGGATGAAAGGGATAACCAAAAATAACAAGGAGAAACAATCAATAGAACTAAACAGAACGTATTTTATTGAAAAAAAAAAAAAAAAAAAAAAAAGGTGCCGGGCACACGAACTATCGTTGTTTCGGTCTCGGCCCAAACATTTGGTGACCTCGACGTGATATTAATATTAATTTACGGTACATCATTATTATTATTTGATTGCAAGTTCTAATCAGCTTGTCGTGCAGTACCTATACTTTTATTAAAATCGTTATATTATTTTTTATCATATTATATTTTCTTGACCAATATTAGTGATATTTATAAAGAAGGGCCTCTTGTTATTATCACTTATTCGGCAGCGCGTACTATCATCGATTTCGTCTCAGATATCGTTATATACACTAGCGATTTGTTGATTTGTGTCTGTTAGTATTGCTAGTCTGATCACAAGCCTTTGGGCAAACCTCATAACAAAATACTGCCGTGAGTCGTGGTTATCTCAGGCATAGCCAAAACTAATTATCTAACGTATAATTGAAATAGCTATGGACGAATCCCAGAAGAAGGTGTTAGGTGACCTGATTAGGAAGAGAGGGGTAATAAAGGCGTCTTTAACACGTATTCGTACATTTATTACCAAATTCAATCCGAGGGAGGATGCTATTACGCTATTAGAATTCAGGCAAGAAGAACTACCTAATATAAACAAAAATTTTGATGAAATCCAATGTGAAATTGAACTTTTAAATTGTGATGATGAGGAAAACGCTAATCGTGAAAGAGCATCTTTTGAGAGTGAGTATTTTGCCATCCGGTCAGAAATGCAAGAAATCATTAATTCAGAGAAACGAGATACATCATCGATGATGCATAATGTATCAACAAGTTCCACTGTGCATAATCAAAGAGCTAGACTTGCTCCGATATCACTACCAAGTTTCGAAGGTGACATACTAGAATGGGAGTCTTTCTTTGACTATTATAAGGCAATGTTGCACTACGATGATGGATATCCTTCGGCCCAGAAGTTCTCATTTCTCAGATCATCTCTGAAGGGACAAGCATTAGACATTATTAAGGGCATACCTATTACCGATGCTAATTATAATGTGGCAATAAAAAAGCTACAAGAACGATACGACAACAAAAGTTTGGTGATCCAATCTCACATTCGCGCGATGCTTGATGCGCCACGGGTGGAGGCCTGCCAGGCAAAGGAATTGCAGAGCCTTTATTCAAGCATGTCCGCACACGTCGCAGCACTTGAAGCACTAGGCCAACCAG